GTCAAGTGCATGGCCAATGCTTGCATACCACCAGCTCCGACAATTGCTGGTTTGTTGCTTGAACAAACCGACAGGACCTTCAGAACGCGTGATGTGGTCCACAACAATTTCTCGTAATCGTTGGAGCGCATAATGCGAACCAATTCATTGGGGCCGCCTGAAGCCAAAATGATCAATTTGCTCTCTTGATTGCCGTAGGCAAGGATCTGAAGACAATCGGTGACGATTGCCAGGAATTTGACATTGTTGCGCTGCAACAACTGTACCATTTTCTGTAGGCCACCAGCCAAACGGACGGCCGTCTTCGATCCATCTTGATGGAGGAGCAAATTGTGCAATGTGGTGATCGCGTAGAAAAGCACTGACTCAATGGGCGATGATAAGAGCTTCACCAATGCCGGAATGCCGCCACTCTTGAAAATGGCGAGTAAGCCTTGGCGATGGTGCGATAAATTATGCAATGTGCCGACGGCACCTTTGGTCGTCTCCAGGTCGTTCGAGGTGGAAATGGCCTGAACGAGGGCCTGAATCATTGCATTACTTTGCATGATTGCGTGTCTGAAAGGAAAACGATAAAATCAATTAGAATTTGGCCGCCGAGTGGGCTGAATGTGATCAATTGCGTGGCATACCTGGAAGCTTCTTTGCGCGATAGCTGATGCACCAGCATGGCGGCGTGCGAAACATTGTAGTTGTCTTCGTCGTTCAGAAGCTTAATCAATTCGGGTATAGCGTGCGTGGCCAAATCGGCATCGTCTTGATAGTTGATCAAATTAACGACGGCATGTTTAAGCATCTGCGATGGTTCGGACAAGCGTTGAACGGCAGTCGGCTGTTGCGAATCGAATTGTGTCGATGGAATGTTAATTCCTTCCTCGAGAGTTTCTGGGAACATGGCAGCACGAACGCGTTGCGAACGAGTTTGACTCAATTGAGCGTTCATATCATCGACTTGCTCTTGCGTGAAGTTCTGCGTATACGCAGCTTGATCCATATCAAACATCAACGGGTCATTTTCCATTCCGTCATCTTCTTCGTGACCACTCAATGATGGCACTTGAGTCACCGCTCCCGATTGGATACCAGAATCGCAGAGATACGAACTCTGCTGCCACATCATAGTCTGCTCCTTGGCAGACATCATATCCTGTGGATGCGAATTGTTGTATTGCTGGTGTTGAGGCACTGCAAGTAGGCATAAAAGGAGAAAAAAAATATAACAAGAACGTTTCGTTAGAAAAATCAATAAAGCGAAAGACATTTTTTTTTCATGTCAAAAATAAAAACTGTACAAAAAGAACGCGCACAAAATATTTAAAATGAGAAAATTGTTCAAGGAGATGAAGCGTTCGAAAAAGAATTCCACTCCATTCGATTCTCATGTATTAACATATTTCCAGTATATATATTTTTTTTTCGGTTCGAGTCTCCTCGTATTATTATGCGCTTCAGTGCTCGATTGTGCTCGCATACTCCTACCATTTAATTTTCTCTACACACACACAATGTTTTCCATTCGGAGGAAAAACAGCAACGCAGCAGCACAACAAGCCGCTACTACGTCGATCTATCATGAAAATTGTTCTCAAACTCCCTCCTCTCAGATTCGAGATTGAAAAAAAAACGAGATCAAAGGAAAAAATTGTTAGCGTTGAATCGTTATGTGAGTTATGCCATCGGTTGAAATGGAATATGTTTTACCCTCGGCTATTCGCTTTCTGTTTTGTTCTGCTGTTCGTTCTATGTGTGCACGTGTACGTGCGGGCGAACGAGCGCTGTTGTTTGTGGTGGTTTTTGCTGTGCTTTATGTTTCATTTTTCATCTATTGCTTTCAAACGTTCTACAGCCGAATCTAACTATCACAATACATATTCTTTCTTCAGCAGCAGCAACAACAACAAAAGCCTCAGAGAATCAAGAAATCCGAAATACTTGCGTCGATAACCATTTCTATTTTCGTCGCTTTTACATTGGGAACATTGGTTGAAAACCTTTATACATTTACGGCGCATTAAATTTATTGGAAAAAACTCGATGCAAAATCAATAGAGTGAATGTCAAATAAAAATCAGATCTCGCCTGATTTTAATGCAATTCGTTGATTGTGAATACGAATTGACAATGGGATTTTAGAGTTTAAAATGGAATCACAAATCAAATGCAATGCACTTCAATTGATTTATCGGTTTTTATCAAAAGGCCAAGAAAACAAACTAAGCAAAAAATAAAGTTATCTTCGATGAGGAAAAAAGTTACTTACTGCCTCGATTCTGCACTGGATTGTAGCTCATGACGACAATCTCACGTTAGATTGTTTTGAGAAAATGTTTGCTCTGTAAATTGAATTGTGAAAGAAAAATTAATAAATGGTTAGAAATTGGTAAATTTATTTTTAAATGAAATATTGAAACTACGCTTTTTGTATTCAAACAAAAGTACACACGCATACAAAAAACAAACACACATACGTCTAGGTATAGATTCTGAACTTTAGAATGTGACTTTGCTTTGAAATATTTTTTTCTATTAAAACCCGAAGTTTATACTGTGTGATTGAATTTCTTTTTTAAAAAAATCGATTTCTTACTTTCTCTTTCTTTTCTATTCAAATTTCGATAAACTCTAGCAAAATCGTAATTTCAATGAACATTCTACACTTGTTTTTTCAGTGCAATTAACAAGTGAAACCTAAAAATGAAATGACACAATTTCCTCTTTCTTCTACAGACATTTGTCTATCATAAAAGAAATAATCTATTTCATTTGAGTTCAGTGAGTAAACGCACAGGCACACACAAATGGGCTGGTTATTTGAAGTAGTGTGGATTCATTAGAAGAACGGTTAAAGAGATAAGAATGAAGCACAATTCAGCGATTGAAGAGTCGAAGTGTGTGAGAGATAGGCTAACTCGCACTCGTTCCGAACCGAATCCCGTCTTTCACGTTATTTTTTTTCCGATGTTTTGCTTTCATTCGTCTTAGTTGTAGTCACAATAATTCGGGTGAATCGTATGAAGTGCACTTGTACACCAGCATACGTCGACTACGTCGTAAAGTATACCATACACACATGCATGCTGGTGGAATTAGGTGTTGGAGTAGTACCCACTACATTTGTCAGCCGTGTGAGTAAGCTGTATGAATAATGCAATTTTTCACATAAAAGGCTCAATCAAGTCAGTTGTATTGTGCAAAGCATACACATTATGATTATGTGCATTTGATTAAAGTCAATTCGCAATATTTGATTGAAAAAAAATATATATTAAGGAGAAAATCACAAGGCATAGCACACATAGCACTTGCGCTTAATTAGAAACCTTCAGCAATCAAACAAATGAAGTCTTTTCATCGGTAGCAGTCATGTGCACGCATTACTCAATCGCCCTAAAGCCATGTATTTTCACAACATCCAAGAGGGTGTGCAAAATTTTCGCTAACATCAAAAGTGATCCATGCCTCGGCAAGGAAAACTCCTCGCTGAACGAAATTCGTTCGACAATATTCATGATCAAACCATAATGAAACAATCTTTTAAGCGTTTTATACGTGTATGTGTAACGCCACAGTCAGAAATAACCTAATGAACACTCGTTCAATTAAAATGGAATCTTTAAATAGCTCGGTTTTGGTGTAGTTGTTGTTTGGTTTTTGATTACATTGCACAGGAAATAACAAAATGCGGCTACGATTCATCGGCTCTTGTTGTACCTTATAAACATACACATACACATACACGGTATATTTTTGGTTTTAACGATTTGTTTCTCATTTTATTTATTTTCTCTTTTTTCGAGTGCTTCGTACAGCGTTGAGCAAAACCTGTTTGGAAAGCATCGATTTTATGCTTGTACACTGCATGTAGCTCACACAGCCGACATCGACATTGTTTCAGGTAGTAGAATTTTTTTTAGGATAGAACAAAGATGCAAAGAAAAGGCAACAACAATAACAACGCAAGAATTCTTCTTTAAAATGTTCCTCTTTTCAATTTGGATGGACCCGAATGAAAAGAGAACGTTTTTTTCAAATAAAAAATTCCATTTTAAAACTGTACAAAAAAGAATTCACTCGAATATTCCCTTTCGAAACCAAGAGATGATGATGAAATTGTTGCTAAAAGTCGTAAACGAATTCGATACGCTGTCGGGTACGAGTTATAGAAATTGGTCACAAAACATGCATTACTCATGCCCCAAGTCATATTTTCAAAATATCTGGTATTCCATTCACTACCGACTTCGTCTCTCTTTTATTTTACGATAATTGTAAATTCACGCATCGTTCTCGGAGCAATGAAAATATTTCCATTTTTATATACATTCCAACTTGGGCGCACATAGGGTCTCTGAATCATACACATAAAATTGTAAACGAACACTGATATTTTTTTCTTGTACTTTATAAACAAGTCGCGCATATTTAAAGGGAAAAAAATAAAAGATATAGAAAGCAAATTCTTTGTATGTTGTTTGTTTCTAATTCTCTTATGCCTCGTTCGTGTAGCCGCTATTTGTATTGCACCTCTGCATACATTGATTTATGAGTGCATGGTTTTCTCTTCTATTTCTACGTCTTCTTCTTCTTTTTTTTTGTCATTCATATCGTACTGTGGAATGGAATTGCACCAAGTGAAAAACATGGCCGATTTATTTTGATTTTTTTCACAATATTCTTATGATTTGCGTTTTAATTCAAATTGAATTGAAGAATGGGATCGAAAAACGCTTCAAAAGTACAAACAAAACAAAAATAAATCGGCCATGTGTGTTTTTAGCTCCGTGCAATTCGTTTACAGTACAGGTTCAATCACGTTTTGTATACAACCGAGCACTGTCTCTCTACACACACCCACAATTCAATGTTTGATTCAGCCTTTCTCAACACAATTCACAATACAAAATGAACACAACTTTTTTTCCAGTTTTATTTTTGCTCACAAATATTCCATAGAACATTTCTTACCGCTGCTTTTCAATTCAACCAAATCACTTAGCTCGATATTCGTTTCGAATATAGAGAAAATAAACTATTTGTTGAAAGGTTTTTTTCTGTTTGTTTCTCTTTCTTGTTTTTTGAGATCCGAATTTTTGTGTATCGGTACATTCACAACGTTGCGCTGCTCGTATCGTACTAACACACAGAGTGTTATTTTAAATACACAAGTCTGTGCGAACGTCGTTCTTCTCTTTCTCGTCTCTCCAATCATTCGTGTTTGATATAGCCGCTTATGTGTGTGTGTTAGTGCTGCTACTCTCTAGCTCACGGTACGTGTATGTCTGTGTATGCCTTTGCGCAACGTATTTCGAGAGTACGTTCCTGAACTGTTCATTGACTGTTTACATAGATTTTGCTCATTTTCCATTTTGGATTATCACTACCAATTGTTTTTTCATTTCAATTGTATTGAATGAAATACCATGTCGCGAATTTCAATTTTACCTTCATTTTAAAAACAGCAGATTAAAAGAAGAAGATTTGTTTATTTCAAATTGATAAAACTTATAATTTTTATCGATGAATGCAACCCATTATGACACTTGGAATGGAGAGAAAAAGACACTTGGAATGTTTTCATCATAGCAATTGTAACGATTTTCTTTTGAATGAATTCCAAACTTTAGTTTCTAAACAATTGAAAAAATCACAAAAATATCACAAAATCTGAATGCGTTTTGTATTTATCATTTAGGGGAATGTACCCATGTGTAGGACGTACCCATGAGTGGGACACCGCCATATTTTTGATAGAATTGAATGCTATTACAAAAATTTGTTCTATGAAAGTTTTCTTTTTATGAATACAAACTTTTGATGGTATATAGATGAGAATAGACTCATGCGTATAGTCGGCCGAATTGAACGAAGTAGTCAAATTTTGTCAAAGAAAAGTTTTTTGAAGATTTTTTCATGAGTGCAGAAATACGATTTCTTCTGGTGATTTCAAGTTGATTTTATGTTACAAGCAATGCCTAATTTAAGGAATTTCGAATTTTGACAATATGCGATTGCTTCGAAAATTGTGGCAATTGTAGAATGAAACAGACAACTCTTTAAGAAAACTGGGACTATCTAGTCTAAGATTCAAGACAATAAACCGATGGCTTCATCTACCAAGTCTTCCTGTAACTTACAAGTATAAGGTAAGGATTGTAATTTAGCATAGCAATCGAAAATGTGACTTATTTGCTTTAGAATTTTTTTTCTGCACCATCTTTCCAAAGTGGTGTGATTCCCATGAGTGGTACAGTCCTTGTTTTATGAGTGAAATGTATGTTTTTTTTGTTTTTTTTTTATGTGAATGCGAAAAATCAGTTGTTTTGGCCTCTTTAAACGTTTTTACAAAAATAAATATCTATAAAAAATCATATTCTCAGACTTTCACTTTATGTTTAGATAATATCCGGGGATTTTCAGTAAGTGTCCCACTCATGGGTACAATTTTTTAAATTTTCAAAAATTAACATTTTACGAAATATTCAATAACTTTTTTTCAAATTGCAATATAAAGCCACATTTACCTTCAAAAGTTAGCTAACCTCCATAGCTTTCGATTGATATATAAAAGTTTATATATTTCATTCTAAAAAATATACTTATGATTGAAAAACAAAACGTGTCCCACTCATGGGTACATTCCCTTACCAATGAGCAATTTATGCACACTGAGTCAATAGCAAAGGTCAATAGGTTATTTGCGGGGCATAATTGCTTAATTGAAGAATTGCAATTATTCTTTTGGCCGAACACACACATATGAAAATTGCAAAACGAATGAATGGCACAATTTCTGCAACACAATAACTATGTAACGAATTAGTCGTTGTTTAATTGCCCTTAATATAAATTCGCTATCCAATGTAAAATGATAAAATTTTGGCTTCGACAATATCTCAGTCAAAACCATGTGAATGTTCAATAGATTTCGAATTTGAAAGCTTATGTTCCAATTTCATAAGTATGCAAATTATATCTGAATGCATTTCGTGTGTCTCTGTTCGGATGCCTCTGATTCTTTTATCAATTGTCTCCGGTGATAAATCTGTGTCAAATGATCATTTTTTAAATGGAACCTGTGATTTCAAGGGGTAAATCACAAAAAAAATGTGTGATGATCCTAAACGCGTGTTAATCCATAACAAATCAATTAACGATGAAATATTCTTCTTGACTCTGCGTAAATGGCCGCTGATTTAATATCAAAATCATCATGTGTGAAACTGGTGGCTATTGTTAGATTTTGTCACCTATTCGCTATTCGCCTAGATCACTGCAATTTAAGCATCGCCATATATACGGAGTACGTTATTCGTCTACTTACTTGTTTGGTAGAATAGGGTTTTAATCCAATTGACCAAATTCAATGTAAATATTTTTAGTGCAAGGTATTCAACTCATATTCATTCTAACCAGAAAAATAAAACTATGCGTTATATATATCGAGTGTATGTATGTGTTTTTTCCATGTGTGAAAGCGATGAAAATTTTACTTGAATATTCATCAACATTACCATGTGCAATTTTTCATTTCTACACAATAAAAAACAAGAATTTGAATGATGATTGATATAAATGTGTTATGTATTGAATATGAAAAATCATATATGCTTACATAGCTACGATCTATTTGAAAACAAATAATCAAAATATATAGAAAAAAGTAGGAAAAAAATATAAAATTTTGAAAGAATAAAACTTAATCCATTCTATGTGTATAAAAAAAGTCTTTACGAATGAAAATATAATGGACTCAAATAAAAGTAAAAAAAAGAAGTAAAAAATGGAAAATGAACATTGTCTCTGTTTGTCGATTCGGGTGAAATCTGGTTTGTACGTTACTCTAAATATGTTTGTGTATAGATTTAACATTCATCTTACAATCTAAAAACAACTGATATTTGTTTTGATTTAAGTCTAGTGAAGAAGAAAACTGTCGTCGATAAACTGATTTAGTCAAATTTTGTGTGTTTAACATTAATGTATCTTTTGAATGAAAGATTCCCGAAAAAACTATACGAAGAAAGAACGAAAAAGTTTCATAAAGACACACTTTCACCCTGTTTGTTCGATTCAAAAACCTAATTAAGCGATTTTACGAGACAATTTGTTTTTGTAATTCATCATTTGATCATCATTGGATCATCATTAGGTTTTCTTTTTTTTCCTCTTTTTTATACTAATAGTAATCTTTTTTGTCAAGTGTTATCGAGAGAGAGAGAGAAAAAGAACGAAAGGAATTCAGTTTTAGCTGCGTATTTTTGATTATGTTGCCATAATGTTGTCAGCGAACTGTCGAATTGAAATCACTGCGCATCACAGATTACAAGTCGGTGTCGTACCATGCGGCCGTTTGATTATCACCGGCTGGGGGAGAGGGCATCGAGTCCAACAGTTCGCCCGCACCAATTTCTCCGACATCCATATCCATTTCGTACGGTGATGTTGGTCCCAACGATGGGCTGCACAATTCCAGACCTTGGAACGAATCAATTGGTATTGGCAATGTTTCGTACGCTGAAATGATAGCAACAGTTTATGTTGAAAACGAAAAATGAAATTAAAATCAAGATAAAGGAATGAAAAACAAACCAAAATAATAATTAATAACAAACAAATCAAGAGATCGAACATTCTACCAATAAACCAATACCAAATACCAGAAAAAGAACTGAAATTTGAAACCAAAAATGGAAAATAAGCAAACCATAAACGAAGGTTGAAATGTTCAACTTGGAAACAGTAATGCATGCAAAATCATTTGAAAAACGGTTAAAATTGTTGAACAACTCAAACTTGAAACAATAATCATCTCAGGGAACTCAAGCAGCAAAACGTTTGAAATTTAATTGAATAATAAAAGTTGATCAATCACCTATCCTGTGTTAGTTTTTTTTGGCTTTTTCTTAACATCCCATTTGTTCTTTGCAATTAAATTGGTTGCAGTTATTCGTTGTTGGATTATTTTGTGTGATGATTTAAAACTAAAGTTACGTTTGCTTGTTATAATGTTATGACTAGACACTGGCATTAGGTTCTTGTTTTTGTTTTTTTTTGTTTGTTAAAACTTAAATTACATAATCATCCCATTTTCAGCCTTAATCAAATGATCAAACGAAAGAAAATCAAAATGGAAGACTGAAAATTTGTTTTTTTTGCGGTATTTCATTGAGATCTAAATTGCTAACGTGTTTTTCATTTCTTTTGCTGAGCATTAATTTAGGTTGGCTTAGCTATAAAGAGAACAATTGCATGGAAAATAGAAAGAGAGATAGAAAACGGTGAGTTTTTCTTAGGTTAGCTTCTCTTTCGAGCGTAAAGAGATGAAGATGGTTTTAGTTACGATTTTGTGTGATTAGTCAAATGGTTAATGTTTTAAATTGATGGAGTGTGTTTTTTGTTAGCGTATTTCGTTGGTTTGACTCCAAAATTATATACCTTGTTGGAACATCCGTCCACCGTGAGAGCTGTGAACACTGGGTGGGCCCTGTCCGTATAATCCCTCGTATGCTTGATCGACTCCAAGCATATCCTGTGGAATGAAGTAATTTCATAAATACATATGCATATGAACAGGGAAAAAAGAAGCCAAAAATAATGACTAGGTTCGTGAAAATTAGGCAAGTAATCAAACAACCTGAAGATCTGGTCCGAGACCTATGTCATTTGGCCATGCAGTTTCGTCTCGTAACAATGAATTGGTCAACTCAACGGACAGACGTTTTCGATATTCTGTGGATTTGTCCTCGCTCATTCGGAAGAGAATGGCGGCTGCGTATGTGGCAACACCTTCGTTACGTGAATGCAACAAGTCAGTGAGTGGTGAAGTTGCGCCAGCGGCTTCGATCATGTCAGCGCTCTCCTTATCAGAGGCCAACTCACACAAAACTCCAGCAGCGACACGCTATGGAAATTCAAAGATTAATTAGTTACAAATACTAGAAATATTTTCGATTTATACCGATGCTAGCCTCCGATTCGTTCGTACCTGAATGTTTTCAATGTCACTCGAAAGCAAAGCGACAAATATCGGAATTACTTCTTGTTGGCGGATCAACACTTTGTTGTGTGAGTCTCTTGCGAGGATGTGCAATGCACCGACAGTGCCTTCAACGATCTCCTCCATTCGAACCCCATCAGCATATGCGCCGGGCTGTTGAGATCCATTGCTAGCCATTGACGAGCGTTGCTAAACGAAATCAAAATCAAAACAAAACATTCAGAATTTTTCCTCTTTCGCATGACTCAAACAACATTGTACTTACGATATCCTGTTGTGCCTTGTTCAACAAGAGGATCAAGCAGTGGAGCGCATTTTGTTCACGCAGTGGCGCATGATTGGCTTGGCACAAAGCTAAGTTACGAATCAATCCAATAACGGCTTTGATCAATGGCCAGCGTGATGGAGGGTTCAACAGTTTGACAACAACACGTATACCGTAATTGATCAAGCGAACCGCATTCTGTGCCATCTCGGCCAACTCGTGACGTGAAGTCAAATGGCGCAATGCACAAACGGCCGGTTCAGTGATCTCCTCACGATCGCCAGCATTGATGATTGTATTGACCAGTGCTTCGACGCCGTTCACCTGGCAAACAATCTGTTTGTTGCGCTGATTGTTGCACGTCAAATTGGACAAGATTCCGGCGGCGCAGGTCACAAAGTTGGCATCTTGTGAGCCGAGAATGTGGACCAAGTTTTGTAATAAAATGTCGAGTCCATCGGTTTTGGTGGCTGCGTCGGATAAATTACGCAATGTCCACAAGCAATTCTGTACCAAACGCTGTGACGGATTAGTCAAGTGCATGGCCAATGCTTGCATACCACCAGCTCCGACAATTGC